TTCTTTATTCATATTCTGCGTTCTTTGCATCAGTTTTGGCCCTAGAGAAAGTAAGAAAGCAATGATGTACAGTGATATTGGCCGGCTGAATTGTAGTGTCAGTTATACAACATTTTCGACTCCAGTTCGGGGACAGGTGTGAAGGATACTGCTCTCGTTGTATATGTTTTATACATCATACTCTTATCATCATGATTATCTGATTTTGTATGAACTTCATTTGTTAGGGATCAGAAAACAAGGAGTTCTCTTCATTTGCTACATAAAGCTTTGGAGGGGGCAATAATACTGGAGATGTTCCCCAAGACAACTGTTGATGTATTTGCCTTGGTGTTGGAATCTGGAGGCAGTAAGTTTAAGATTGTTTTAGATGGATAGTAATTGTTTAGATATTGGCTGACGAACACGAACACGAACAAGTATTCTGGGTTACCCTCACCTGGGGAGTACCAATGATTTGTTATTCAATTTTGCAGTAGAACATAATAAGACGGTTGAGGATCGTTGGGAGGGAGTCTCATATTGGCTAATTAAGGGTTGATCATGGGTTTATAAATAAGGAATAGATCTCCATTGGTACGAGGCCTTTTGGGAAGCCCAAAGCAAAACCAATGGGAGCTTATGCTCAAAGTGGACAATATCATACCATTGTGGAGATTCATGGTTTCTAACAAGAGCTCGTAATGCTGTGGAGCTTGTTGGTTACTTATTTTGGGTCACTTAACTACTTGTCAGCCATAGGTTTCACATTAAGGCATCCATGAGTCAAATTTTATGCTTGCTGGCATCAGTTTGGAGATAGAACCGACTAGTTTTCTCCTTAGCTCTTTGCATGTAACGACCCAAGCCCACTACTAGCAGATATTGTCCTCTTTGGGCTTCCTCTCAAGGTTTTAAAACGCGTCTGCTAGAGAAAGGTTTCCACACCCTTATAAAAAACGCTTTGTTCTCCTTCCCACATCGATTGCTTTGTTCTCCTTCCCACATCGATTGCTTTGTTCTCCTTCCCACATTGATTGGAGAAGGGAACGAGTGCTAGCAAAGACACTGGCCCCAAAGGGAGGTGGATTGTGAGATCCCATGTCAGTTGGGAAGGAGAATGAAGCATCCTTTACAAGGGTGTGAAAATCTTTCCCTAGCAAACGCGTTTTTAACCCTAGAGGGAAAGCCCGAAAGGAAAAGCTAAAAAAAGTCAATATCTGCTAGCAGTGGGCACCTAGGTCAGTACCTTCAGATTTTATACTTTTTATGTAAACTAAAGCATGGAAGTAAGGTTACCTTTTCTTTAATATTGACATTTTGTTGTGGCAGGTGAGCTTCCTGTTGTGATATCATGTGCTAGTCTTGCTCTTGCTGATGCAGGGATTATGCTTTATGATCTTGTTGCCTCAGTTTCTGTGGTATGCATTCCGATTCCAACATAATGCACTCATAATTCTTTATTTTTAAGTTCTTATACAGTCACTCATATCTGTTAACCAGAGCTGCTTTGGGAAGAATCTTCTTATTGATCCTATGTTGGAAGAGGAAAACTACGAAGATGGAAGTTTGATGATAACTTGTATGCCATCTCGTTACGAACTCACTCAGCTCACTATCACAGGCCAGTGGTCAACTGCTAAAATTAATGAGGTAAACATCTACTTTTAAGTTCATCTTTCAACCCTACCAGAGTCACGAGAAGTTGAGAAGTAAACAATAAGTTATCTATAATACCACCACAGGGTATGCAATTTTGCGTTGATGCGTCGTGTAAGCTTGTGAAGATCATGCGGTCATGTTTGAAGGAATCTGCCACCATTTCAGAGGTATAAAAGTAACCATTTTTTCATTCAAGGAAAAGAACACAAAAGAATTGGAATGGTGGAAGAAGCGAAGTTGACTTGAAGCTATTTTTGCATTTATTATAATGTTGGTGAGTCAAGTCAGAGCCTCAGCCTACCTCTTTCTGGTCTTCCTGGTCTATGGTCTGCGCTTCTGCCACCGCCCATTTTCAAAGTCTATTCCCCCACCAAAGTCAATTTTCATTATATACATGTATGTGTATTCTTTTTTTAATGGTTAGTTATGATCCTTTGAGATAATATGGATTGATTATGCTTTTGATTATATCCATAGCTTGAAACTATTCTATTAGTTTCACTGCATCGCTCCTCTCCTCTCCTCTTCTCGTTCTGGAAGAACATTCTTCTTTGTCGATTAGCTCTCTTTATCCAATTTTAGTGATTTGGCTGATGACTAACAAAAACAATAGCTGAAATGCATCGTACTCAAGTATGATTTAAGTATAATTCAATTGTTTAAGACATAAGCGGATGGGAAATGTATTCTAAATATTGAATGGAAAATGCATTCTAAGTATTGAATCATGTTTATTTTGTGAGTAGGAAACATGAATGATGATGGGTACCCAAGTTCCAATCTCTCCCCACTTGAACCACGATTGAATGTTATAGCGAACAGTAAAGAAATAGTAAGAATCCATAATGTACAAATAAATATTTTCTTATCGACTCTAAGAAAGCAAGCAAGCAAGGCTATAGAGCATGAATATGCATATGTATATGATATGCGTGGGGAAGGAGAAGGCTAAAAATGGAGGCAATGCCAAATGAGAACAGTCTGTAAGGCAATGGCAATGGAAGAGGAGCAGCAATAAATGGGTATTATTAATGCTCCCATAAGGGGTGTCGAAAGGTCTTCTCAGATTATGGCCCCATTTTTACTCCCTATTTTCAACTTCATTTCCCTTCCTTCTCTTTACTTTACATTATTATTAAAACAACTCAATACAAAAACGCACTATAAACCATAGTCTATACATAATACAATAGAAAATTTAAACCTTATAAAATTTCCATAAAGAAAACAAGGCCGACCAAACTACAAGTATTAAATTATTAACAAATTGCAAAGAAGTTTCACAAATAATTCCAATTCTCTCTCTCTCTCTCTCTCTCTCTCTCTCTCTCTCTCTCTCTCTCTCTATATATATATATATATATATATATATATATATATATATTTCCACCTCAAGCCATAGAACAGCCAATATTGCTCTTGATACAGAACCAGAGATTCAGAGAAGCTCACAAGTTTGATTTCTTGGTGTTCACAATAATCTATCATAAAAGGTATTTGATTTCTTTATTTACATTCTATTATAAGCATTTTCTCTACAAAACTAAGAATTCTATTAAGAATGGAGTAAATTTTTTAATTTGTTAAGAGTGAGGGAAAATGAAATAAAAAAATAGCAATAAAAACCAAAAAGAATCAAAAGCCAAACTTTGGCTTCCTCTGAGGAACAGAAAAAGAAAAAGAAGTCGGGGTTTTGTTGTTTCTTATTCCTTCCCAAAATATATAGAGTGAAGTCAACTCCTAGGATCTATATAATAAGAACAGCCAAAGGAAAGGGCAAAAGAAAAGTACCTTTTTTTAAAAAAATTTACTTCATTTGAAGATCCAACAAGAGCATCTTCTTGCCATTTTCTGTTATGGATTGTTTCTTTGTCTCTGTCGTTCTGTCTCTTTCACATACTCATGGAAGCGCTGCTTCTGGGTTTCCATTATTTTATTTCTTAGTTTCCTGTGTCAATCTTCTCTTTCAACCCACCATTGAACGTTTCAAAGCCCATTTTCCCCATTTCCTTCAAATTCTGAATTTCAAGTCGTCGTCGTCGACGTCTGGCCGTGAAGAACAAGAAGGGTTTCTCTTCATGTTCTGAAACAGGTATTTCTACAAGACCCCACTGCCATGTTTCTCTTGTCGGTGTGTTATTTGAATGAGAAAGAGAAAGAAAGTTTGGTTTAAAGAATTGGGTACATAGTTCAAATGATCTTGAACGGCTGAAAGAAGCAAAGTTTCTCTCATCTCTGTATCACCATTTTTTTTTTCTTTTCATTCTCCTTTTGGAGGGGGGGTTGAGATTCTCTATGATATTTAAAGTTTTTGGTTGTTGAAGAGGGTATTTTAATAGAAAATACTCACATGTCCAACTTGTTCATTTGAGTTGTGCAGTTTGAGAGGCTTTACAGCTTCATCCTTGCTGCAATCTTGTTAATTCACATGATTCATGGTGACACCAGGCATGGAAACTCTTCCTCTCCCGGCTATGTGGCCCTGAATTCATCCCTTTAATCTTATTTTCTTCTGTTGCAGGTTGACTACATTAGAACTGCAGCCAGAGGTTCATTTGGGGAGATCTTTATGGCTTATGGTAGTTCTAGATCCGTAAGGTTAGTTTCCTTCTCAACCTCAAACCAGAGAACTCAATTTTCAACACAATTTCTGTTGTTTTCTGTAGCATTTATCGGATTCTTTTCCAGATTCCAAGATGATCTTGAATCATCCACCCTGCCTACCATCAACGGTGGTGGCGTGAAGAAGATCATATACAACCTTGATGGCACACATATACCAGAATCGACGGCTTCCAGGAAGTCTGGAAGATCCTTGCGAGCTAAAGTTCTGTCTAGAGTTTTCTCTGAGGATTATGAGAGAGTGCAAAGAAAAATATTGGATCCTAGAGGACAAGCCATAAGGAGATGGAATAAAATCTTTTTAGTAGCTTGTTTAATCTCTTTGTTTGTAGACCCACTTTTCTTTTACTTGCCTGTCGTCCGGGATAACGTCTGCATTGATATAGTAGTAGGTCTCGAAGTCGTCCTCACAATTATAAGAACAATAGCTGATGTTTTCTACACAGTTCATATTCTCATTAAGTTTCGTACAGCTTATGTCGCGCCCTCTTCTCGTGTATTTGGGAGAGGAGAGCTTGTTATAGACACTTGTAAGATAGCAGTGAGGTATCTACGGCATGGTTTCTGGATTGATTTCATTGCAGCCGTGCCAGTTCCTCAGGTATATGTGGGTTTCTCAATTGCTTTACCATTGATGTTGGGTATGAGGTTGACAAATTGTTGATCTAAGCACTGCTTTTGTAGGTACTGATATGGATTGTCATCCCCAACCTCAGTGGCTCAATAATGACAAACACCAAGAACTTTCTGCGGTTCTTTCTCATTTTCCAGTACATCCCAAGGCTTTTTCTCATATTTCCTCTCTCAACACAAATTGTTAAGGCCACTGGACTTGTGACACAGACAGCATGGGCTGGAGCTGCTTATAACCTGATCCTGTACATGTTGGCAAGCCATGTGAGTAGAAGAATAAGTAGAAATGAATAACTTAACTTATATGACTCAAGCTGATCCTATTGTTTTATTCTTTTAAAAGGTTCTAGGAGCTTGCTGGTACCTTCTTTCAATTGAGCGACAAGAAGCATGCTGGAGAACACTTTGTAAGTTTGACAAATCTTGTAACAATGGATTCTTCGACTGTCATAAGATCGATGACCCTCAAAGGGGCTCGTGGTTTCGTATGAGCAACATCAAAAACACATGCAATCCAAATGATCCCTTTTATCAATTTGGTATATATGGTGATTCAATAACTTTCCATGTCACAACCTCAACGTTTTTCAACAAGTACTTCTACTGTCTTTGGTGGGGTCTGAAAAATCTCAGGTGAGCTAATCCTGCATTTGGAAGTTCTATTTTCATACTCCTCTGAAACGAAGGAACAATTTAACAATATGGAATTGTCATATGCTTCAAATACATTGCCCTAAGGGGCTGGAAGATTAGCGTAGATCTCACATTGGTTGGAGAGGGGAATGAAACATATCTTATAAAGGTGTGAAAATCTCTCCCTAGTATATATGTTTTAAAAACCGTGAGGCTGACAGCGATATGTAACGGGCTAAAGCAGACAATATCGGCTAGCGATAGGACTTGGGCTATTACAAATGGTATTAGAGCCAAACACCAGGCAATGTGCCAGTAAGGACGCTGGGCTCCAACGGAATGGATTGTGAGATCCCACATTGGTTGAAGAGGGGAAGGAAGCATTCCATATAAGGGTGTGTAAACCACTCACTAGAAGACGCATTTTAAAAACCTTGGGGGAAGCTCAAAAGGAAAAACTCAAAGAAGATAATATCCGCTAGTGGTGGGCTTGGGCAGTTACAATCAGAACACGTACTTCTGAAAGTTCTTTTTCAGGGAAAAACATTATGTTGTCATGAAACTTGTTGAGGAAGAAACTAGTTTTTCATTTATATGTCACTGTTGTGGCTGTTTAAGGGAGTTCTGAAAGTTCTTCTTCAGCCCTCAAAGAGTTTGATCTGAAAATTTCAACCATCTTTGATTTATACGTGCAGTTCCTTGGGACAAAATCTTGCCACAAGCACTTTTGTTGGGGAAATAGTTTTTGCCATAATTGTGGCAACTCTTGGACTGGTTCTGTTTGCATTGCTCATTGGCAATATGCAGGTAAGCCATTCATATAATTGCTATTGTAATCAATCATTTTGTTCTACCCAGTTCTGTTATATATCATGCTTGTTCTTCATAGTTTCTATAAAATCATTGTCAGTCTTGCTTGAAGTTAAATGAATCATAAATGCTTATTTGTTTTCAGAAATACCTCCAATCGACGACTGTCCGGTTAGAAGAGTGGAGAATCAGGAGAACTGATACAGAGCAATGGATGCATCACAGGCAGCTACCTCCAGAGCTCAGACAATCTGTCCGCAGATATGATCAGTATAAGTGGGTAGCAACTCGAGGAGTTGATGAAGAATCGCTGCTTAGAAGCCTTCCATTGGATCTCCGAAGAGACATAAAACGTCACCTCTGCCTCGATCTTGTTCGAAGGGTAAGTTTCACACATAAACTGGAGGAGAATTTGTGGAAATGATCAAAATGTGGCTAATTAATCTGATTCTTCTCTGTGCTGCACACTCTTCCTTGATTTTGGCAGGTTCCATTGTTCGATCAAATGGATGAAAGAATGCTAGATGCAATATGCGAGAGACTTAAGCCTGCCTTGAGCACAGAAGGCACATTTCTGGTGCGAGAGGGCGATCCAGTCAATGAAATGCTATTCATAATCAGAGGACATCTCGATTCATACACCACTAATGGCGGCAGAACAGGATTCTTCAACTCCTGTTGTATCGGTCCAGGTGATTTCTGTGGTGAGGAGCTGCTAACATGGGCACTCGATCCTCGTCCCAGCGTTGTGCTTCCTTCTTCCACTCGCACGGTCAAAGCCATCTCAGAAGTAGAAGCATTTGCTCTCATAGCAGAGGATTTGAAATTCGTATCCTCCCAGTTCAGAAGACTCCACAGCAAACAACTCAGGCACAAGTTTCGATTCTACTCGCATCAATGGCGAACATGGGCTGCCTGCTTTGTTCAAGCTGCATGGCGGCGATATAAGAGACGCAAAGGAAGAGCCGAGCTCATGGCTAGAGAGAGGTATCCAGCTACCAACCTCGACTCGCCATTTTCACCACCAACTGCATCAAATTCGGATACATGTTCAGGAAACCCTAGAATAAGGATGAACAAGCGCTGTGTGTCGGATGCCGGGGTAGTAAGCTCACTGCAGAAGCCAGAAGAGCCCGACTTCTCCATTGTCGAGGAATGAATGAATCTACAATTCTATTATTTGTTCTGTGTGTAAAATGAAATGATAAGGCCCAACTCCCCAAAATGGGCCCAAATACAGATCCAAAGGCCCAACTCTCCAAAATGGGCCGAAATACATATCCAAAGGCCCAATGTATTTTACGTTTCCTATAATATGGGCCTGGCCCGGATTGATGAAAGATGTAGTAGACAAATGAAAAGGGGGGTGGAGGTGGACAACATTTAATTTAACCCTCCAAAAGTGGGACAACTCAGTAAATAAAAAGGATATGGGTCCCACATCTGGCCACATCAGCAGCAGTAGTCATTACCATCGGGCCCACTTTGACCAGTCCTCTGCATTCATTTCCATTGACCATTGGAGGGGTTATTTTGCAATGATCATGTAATTAACACACCAAATCACGATTAATTAACGAAATTACAGTTTCTTTGGAGACCAAATAGAAACACATTATTATTTGTCGGATACATACAAAAATAAAAAAATAATAAAAAAATAAAAGTAAAATTCGGTTGCATTATGCAAAGTCCCCACTCTTGTTCGTGTGACCATGTGAGGTTTATAACAAGGTCCAACGCTAAAATAATAATGTTGCGTACTAACAACAGTATTCTGTCTTTTTTTTTTTCTTCCATTAAATTAATAAATTTTATTTACCTAGAACACGGTAAAAAGAAATAATTTACTGAGGACGGTAAAAAGGGGTAATGTTACAATTTTGTACAGATTAGGTGGAAAGGGTAAATTATTAGGAAGTAAAAGTAATGAATGAGAAGATAATTGGGTGAAAATGACATGGAAAATAATTATTATGTTTGCACATATGTGGAAAAGAGGCATACGGAAGTAGGGACCCTAATAATCTAATTCAATTTAAATGGGAATCCAACAATAATAATAATGACCCTTCAATTTCACACCATTTTTTAAAATTATTTTTATTTTCAGATAATTCAATTATATAAATACATAATTTTATTTAACATTATTTTTAATTATATTGACACGATTTTATGAATAAAACTAATTTTGTTTAGTAAGGTAGGTATATAATTAATGTAATCCTCACCTCCACATTAATGAATAGCTATAGTACACAACAGTATATTTACATTTAATAATTCATTATCATAATTCTATAAGAAAATAAACAAGTACCCGTTTTTAATTATATTAATTATGCTACAACGGTGACCCTTAAAAAGTAGCTTTGTAAGGTGTCCACTCGTCAATAGTAGAGAAGTCGACAATAATAAAATAGTTGTCAGCTCGTCGAAAGGAAGAACATTGTCAATGGTGGGAAGAGAAAAAGTCGTGGAGTTGAGAATAAAGTGAGTTGTGGGAGAGGGAAAGCACGAGAAAAACGAAGAGTAGAAAAAAAAGAAAAAAGTGTTTAAAATGTTTACTTTAAAAAGTTAGATCGAACTGACGTCCACGTCGTATATTTAAAAACTTATAGATATATTAAATAAAATTTTGAAATAAATAAATAATTATTAATGTATGAATGTTGCATGGTTTATTGTAGTAATAGATAGGGTGGCATTATTCAAATATTGGGGTGGGTGGGTTACCAAAATTAATGGCAGCAAAAGGATGTCCTAAACAAATCAACCATAGGTTAAAATTTTTATTTCTATTATCTAGAAAATTCAGTAATGTACGACGTTAACGTGGTGATGTTGAGAGGAGATGAGGTGATAGCAATGTGACGTATATTCTGTTCACACAAATAATAAGTCGGTTCTCGTTTTTTGTTTTCTTCCCAAAATTATTTTTATTTATTTTCAAAATTTTAAAAAAATAATTTTAAAATTTATTCCAATACTCCGATTATACAAATTATAATATAAGTAGTGACTTTCAATTCTTTAAGTCATTTTTAATTATCTTTATCTTTAAAATTGAGAGTGTAAGTCAATTTATTTATTTATTATTATTATTTTTTAATCGAGGGCAAGGAAAGGAAACCTGCCGACAGCATGCGGAAAGGACACGAAGGCAAAGGAGATGTCAAAGATTTTGCATTAAAATTCTTAAATTCCACATTTTTTTTAATAATTAAAAAAGAATTGAATTAAATATTTAAAATAAATGATGGAAAATTGAAATAAAAGGTGGAAAATGGAAAAAGGACCACATTAGCAATAAGAGGGAGTAATTAATATGGAGGCAAGGTCAAAGCAGGGAACAGTTTGAGAAAAGGATGGAAGGAAGGCGGTGTAGGAAAAATTAGAAGAAGAAGAAAGCAACAGCTTAACCTCACCTGTCAATGGCGGCGAGAAACAGAGCCACTGAGAGAGAAATTAAACCAACTCCTCAGCTCCTGTCCTTATGAAACATACCCATCCAAAATATTAAAACCAACCCGTTTCACGTTTAAATCCTAAACATTTTTTTTTTTAAATCGTTTGGTTGACGACGGTATGTAACGAACTAAAGTAGTTAATAATTGCTAACGGAGCATGTTGTAAATGGTATAAGATCCAGTTACGGGATGGTGCAAGGCACTCGTTGAAGTAGGGATTAGACCCTTGATTTTATTACATCTCTTTATAATCTCGTACAATTAAGAAGAAGATCATAAATATATAAATGGTGGTAAAATTGAAAAGATGAAAAAGGAGAAAGGCTATCCTCTTTTTTTTTTTCTTTTGCTCTAATTATTTTGGTTAATATTCTCTATGCACCAATAGATTTGAGACACGTCAATGAGTTAAAAGGAAAGGAAAAGAAAGGAAACAAAGGCATTGATGGGAATCATTCCAAGGAAGAACACACAAAAACACCCATAATTTTCTTACAACATCCACCATTTATTTATTTCAGGAAAAAAAAAAATTGAACTTGGCTCTGAAAAAATTTGAATCCTTGAGCCAAAAATGGAGAAAATTATGGTGAGATTTAGGATGAAAGGGGTGTTTACGACCCATGTGAGTGTTAAATTTAGCCGAAAGAAATTGAGTCTAATTCAAAAAGGCAAAACTTTTCGAAAAAGGAATGCATGTGCTATGTAACAGTCGAGATATTGTCCTTTTTGGATTTTTTGTATTATAGGGAGATGTCGTTACCCTCTCTAACCGCTCATAATCTAAGTTCATTGTTAGTAGATATTGAGGTATTTGGAGTTTTCATGTAGTGGATGAGATTGTATTTGTAATGGTTAAACTTTCTTTTTTTGGGTGGGTCTGTTGGAGAGAGTCATTCATGAATATGGGATCTCACAATCTACACGCAAGAATATTCTTTTTGGTAGGGTGAGAAAGGAATAGAAGTGGAACACGCAAACTAAGAACACACACAGGTCAAGTGGTACCTGAGAAGTAGTTGTCTAAGGTAGTGAGTGTGGTAGGAAAATGGGCATAACAACCGAGGGCTGCTGCGGGGATTGAGGGTGGGGCTTAGTGGTAGGCTGCAAAAGAAGAGCTTCAGTTCTTATCTGACTAGGAATTCCACCAGTTTTCTTGTTCTTGGGAAGTGGGCGTTCAATCATAAAATGCCTTTTGAAATAATTTCAATTGGAGCTCCAACAAACAAGGCCATTCTCCACTCAAAAACTTTTAAAAAAACAAAGAAACAACATATGGATCACTTCACTCCAGCTTGCTAGCTACACATATCCTATGTTTGTGAGACAAAACACCCATAAACTGCACTAAGGTTGTTTTGTTTTTGTTTGTTTTGTTTGTTTTTTTTTTTTGTTTTGCCAAGCTCTCTTTCCATTTAGTGTATATTCTATCGTAGTCTAAGTTTAATGCCAGTAGATATTGTTTATTTTGGTCTATTACGTATTACCGTCAGCCTCACGATTCTAAAACGTGTCTACTAGAGAAAGATTTTCATATCTATAAAGAATGTCCCGTTCTCCTCTCCAACCAATGTGGGATCTCACAATTCACTCTCTTGGGGGCCAGCGTCCTCGCTGGTATACCGCTCGGTGCCTACCTCTTATACCATTTATAACAGACTAAGCATATCGTTAGTAGATATTGTCCATTACATATCGTCGTCAGTCTCACAGATTTAAAACGCGTCTACTAGGGAAAGATTTTTACATTCTTAAATGTTTCGTTCCCCTCTCCAACCGATGTGGAATCTCACAATCTCAGTATCCTTGCTAGCACACCACCCGGTGTCTGGCTCTAATACCATTTATAACAACCCAAACCCACTGTTAATAGATATGATCCGTTTTGGCCGGTTACGTATCGCTGTTTTAAAATGCATCTACTACAGAAAGATTTCTACACCCTTATATAACAAATGATTCGTTTTCCTCTCTAGATCTCACAATCTCTGTGTCCTCACTTGCACCCTGCTTGGTGTCTAGCTCTAATACAATTTGTAACAACTCAAGTTAATCGTCAGTAGATATTATCTGCTTTGGTCCATTACATATCACCGTCAGCCTCACGATTTTAAAACGCGTTTATTAAGAAAAACTTTCCACACTTTAATAAGAAATGTTACGTTTATCTCTCTAACTAATATGAAATCTCACCGATTTAGTTCATAACGAGACGGGTAGAGTATGATATTGTTGACTGATAGATAGATAGGGAGGGAGAGAGAGAGAGAGAGGGCATGCATATGCATTTTGATATGGATGACATTTTTGGGTTGGAAGAAATGTATGGTGTGGTAGACCCAATTTCCTCATTTGGTGAAGCCAATTTGACCACTCTTATTTACAGGTTTTGAGCTCTCATTGGTTGCTTCAACCTCAAAAGCCTTCCATGGAGGCTGTCTTCCTCTGCTACCTCCAATTATGATACTCATAGTGCCTCAAAGCATATTCCTCATATCTTGTCTCTCTAAAGGGGTGGGGGAAGATGCCCACGTGTCAACCAAGGGACTCCCTTTCCTCCCTTCCTTCCTCCTCTTTTTTCATCTTTCTTTCTCTCCTTTTCCTTTCTAGTGGGAACCATATCTTCTCCTTCCACGCACAAACCCACCGACTAACTCAATCTAGTGTAAAAATCTAGATCGAAACGGACAATATCTACTAGGGGTGGACTTGACATGTTTAGATTTGGTCACCCTTTTGTAATTAAATATACCCTTAATGTGAAACGTCTACTTATCTCTACAACGACATGATACTGTACATTTTGGACATAGGCGGCAGCCTTTGACTTAGTCAACGGAAAAAAAAAATGTGAGTTTTGTAAACATAAATTTGATGAGTTATGGGAGTAAATGGCGAAGTGTATGAGAAAACAAAAGCAATAATGGAGGAGTTGGGGCTTGAGATCCAAAGCTATATGGGACAGTGATGCAGCAAAAAGAAGATGCAGCAGCTCTGATCACCCATTCCTTTGCTCAACGCTCCATGTCTCTCTTCCTATAGTCCAAGGACATGGGAAAAACATTAAATTACAACACACAAACCACAAACATTAATTACAACAACAATTTATTATACAATTTGATTCTTTGTCGTTAATCAAATTTCACATAACTTTAATGGATAAAGACACAACAAAACAAACCCTCTTACAATCTTGCGTGCATGTGCACTGTCTACCATTCAATGCTTTTCCTAACTTAACCAAGATCCATTCCTCATCCATGAATGTGTATAATGCTATCGAGCTAGCTTCATGAGAAGATTCCGTGTTGTAAGCGAAGAGCTATGGATCAAAGGTTTTAAAATACGTCTACTAGAAAGAGGTTTTCACGCCCGAATAATAAATAGTTCGTTTCACTCTCTAATCGATGTGGGGTCCAATGTCTTTGCTGACACACCGCCTGATGGCTAACTCTGATACCATTTGTAACAGCCCAACTCTACCACTAATAGATATTGTCCTATTTGAACCGTTACAAATGGTATCAGAGCCAAGTTACCGGACGGTGCGAGACACTGGTTGGAGTAGGGCTAGACCTTCTCCATAGTAGATCTTGAGGATTGTTGGGAGTGAGTCCCACATTTACTAATTTCGGGAATGATCATGAGTTTATAAATAAGGAATACATCTTCATTAGTACGAGACCTTTTAGGAAGTTCAAAGCAAAGTCGTGAGAGCTTATGCTCAAAGTGGACAATAGCATACCATGGTAGAGAAGTTCATAAAGAAAAGCTCAAAAAGGACAATATCGGGGAGGGGATTAAGAAGGCGGGGAAGTGGAGGCTGTCCATCGTTTTTTAACTTAAATTATAAGTGTTTCCTATGCTTATAGCAAGCTTGTCCACGATGCATTCCCTTTCTAGGACACACCCAATTGGATGAAGTGCAGAAGTAAATAAAGAGCTTAGAACATTTGTGTTGTAAATCATTGATTATGTTGGGTTAAATCATGGGTACCAAAACCTTTGGTTGTTTGCTTAAGACAATAAAAAAGGAGTATGACATTTATTATGTCGAAGAAACATCTTCTTCAATCTAGGGACATCAAAACGTGACAGATTTGATTAATAGATAATGTTACAAACACAAACATGAAACTAATCTAGTCATAGTCACCAAAGAATATTCTAATTATTTCATACTAACGTCAAAAACCCCCCCAACAGCCTTTGTTCTTAAACAGTTCATGTGGACTGCAAGCCATGGCTTGTGGGGATGCCATCAACCCACGCTATGTCCTTATGAAACTGTTCACATTCCAATTACCACGCATCATCATGTAAAGCCAACATCTTTTTAACAAAGGAATTTGAACAAAGTTGTTAAAGTTCTTTGGGGGTTCTTAATTAGTACAAGAAATTTGGTTTGGAGTAAGAAAAAGGGATGTTTTTATTGGTGGGTAAGTTTGATAAATTTCAGTCGAGGTAATGCAGTCACTTTCCCCTGTCCTCAAAAGAGTGGACCTGGAGAGAGATTTGAAAAAAAGAAAAAAAAAAAAGAAAAAAAAAAAAAGGAATTAGCAGCGTTCAATACGTTTGTTCCTGTACAGCTATATATGTAACCACACCACAGCCTTGTTTCTCCACCAACGTGAACCACCCACAAACTTCTTTACCTCTACGACACTGAATCTGAGGCAAATTTCTAACCATTTCTCGCATACCCATTTCACAAAGTTCATCAATGGAGAAGGAAAACGAACCCAAATCACCAATTTTCAAGAGGATTTGTGTGTTTTGTGGTAGCAGCCCTGGGAAGAAGACTAGTTATAAAGATGCTGCCATTGAGCTTGGAAGAGAACTGGTAAAATCTCTCTGTTTTTCCCCTCTCTATGTCTCTGTTCCTTATTTGAAGTGGGTTGTTCTTAATTTTAGCAATGAATTGGAATTTTGGGTTGTTCTATCAATTGATTGATTGACAGTTTTTTTTTTATGGCTTTTTTGTTGGAAGGTCTCGAGGGATATTGATCTGGTTTATGGTGGAGGGAGTGTTGGATTGATGGGATTAGTCTCTCAAGCTGTTCATAATGGTGGTCGTCATGTTGTTGGGTTTGTTTTTCTTTTTCCTTTTGCCATTTTCAGGAGCTTTAACGTCATGAAAATGGTGATAATTACTCATTTCCTTTTGAATTTTGCAGTGTTATCCCCAAAACGCTTATGCCAAGGGAGGTATGTTTACTATGATTCCATTCCACTGTTTTATCACGTGTTTTGACTCATTATGTATTAATACGGAGATGTTTTTACGCCATTATAAAGAATGTTTCTAAGTGATATGAAACCATTTGGGTAAAAAAAACCCGAGGTTTGAATGGTGTGACACATAAGGAGTCACTGTGTTCAGTAACATACAGTGAACTAACACACAAATTTGGCATAAAATGGGAAGGGAGTTAGTATGGGGATTGAATGAGAGGCAGTGACTGACTTTTGCAGATAACTGGAGAGACAGTGGGAGAAGTGAAGGCAGTGGCAGACATGCACCAAAGGAAGGCCGAGATGGCCAGGCGTTCTGATGCCTTTATTGCCTTACCTGGTTCGTCTTTTCTTCTCTTTTCTCTTCAATCACTATGCATAATTTGTCTGTTGCTGCTCCATTTCGCCCTGTTTTGGGCCCCAACCTCCAGGAGTCTTAGCCAAAATAGACTCACCCCAACATTTAATATGCATAGCTACTCTACAATGTTCAAAGCATGGTAATTAAAGAGTTAATTATGTGATTAGAATGTTTTTTTTATGAAAAGATTAAACAGAGGAACGTTTTGATTATGAACAATCTCTGACAGAAGAAATTAAGGGGCAGCCTTTTTCCTGAGAATTCTGTGGTATGGCTGCCAATATGGCAGCCTACAACCTACAATTCAAGGGTACCATCCTTAGCTCTGGAGAAAGAAAGAAGAAAAAGGGAGAAATTATAACAGATGGTCCCTACCTCCCCCCACCCCACCTCACCTCTTATAGCCTACTCTTAAGGTTTCAAAGAGCGGTTTCTATACTCTTATAAGAATTGTTTCGTTTTCTTCTCCAACCGACGTAGGATTTCACAATCTACTCCTGTTGGAGCTAGCATTCTTGTTGACACACCGCCCGGTGACTAGCTTAGATACCATTTGTACCAGCCCAAACCCATGGTTAACCGATATTGTCTTCTTTGGGCTTTCCCTCAAGACTTTTAAAACGCGTTTTAAAATCTTGAGGGGGCCAAAGAGGACAATATTTGCTAGTAGTGGACTAGCTCTAATACCTCAAGGTTACCGCTAGCAGATATTGTCCTCTTTGGGCTTTTCCTTGAGGTTTTTAAAATCTGAGAAGCCCAAAGAAGACAATATGTGCTAGCGGTAGACTAGCTTTGATACCCCAAGGTTACCGTTTTAAATCCCTTGAAGGAAAATCCAAAAAGAACAATGCCGGCTAGCAGTGGACTAACTTTGATAGCAGATATTGTCCTCTTTCCTTCCCTTGAGGTTCATATTAACTCACATAGAGCCCATCGTGAAGGCCCAACTAATTAAGCTCCTTTTTGATGAAGGTGGGTATGGAACTTTGGAAGAGCTGCTTGAGGTCATCACCTGGGCTCAACTGGGAATCCATGATAAACCAGTAAGCCATATCATTGTTATTCCAAAACGCGTGATGTTTCATCAGTGATTAACATGAAGTGAGTTGAGTTGCTGTTCAGGTCGGACTGTTGAATGTGGATGGATACTACAATTCATTGCTGTCCTTCATTGATCAAGCGGTGGAGGAAGGTTTTATCAGCCCAAGTGCTCGCCATATCATTGTGTCTGCACCTAATGCAAAGGAGTTAGTGAAGAAAATGGAGGTAAATCCAGGCAAATGTTTTAGTTTGTTGAACCAATTTGAAAATGGATATTGAAATGGTAGGCTTTGTGATATTAGGAGTATGTTCCACGGCATGAAAGAGTGGCTTCAAAGCTTAGCTGGGAGAGTGAACAAATAGGGTACCCTACAAAATGTGATATCTCAAGGTGAAAAGATGAGTGGAAGGCACTAATTTGATTTAGAAGACCAACGAATTTGGTGAAGTTGGGTTTGTTTTTGTTTTGTTTTTCTGCTTCTGCTTCTGTAAACTACCAACAAAAAGGTGGAGAAGAAAAACTGACATAAAAAAAAAAAAAGGTTTAAGAGTCTTATGTAGTTTGGTTGGAGCTTGGCTTCCCTGTTAGCTGTGTCCTAATTGTTTGTCGTTCAAAAATCATGGAAGCTTAGCTTACCTTAGCTTAGATCAAATCAATGTATCTAATGTTTGTCTCGACCATTCTCTCGTTTCTTTGATTCACTCATTCAATTTTCGATTAAGAATCAACGAAATGACGAACAGAGCTTCATGTTTTGGTATAGAAAGCTTAAATGATCGTTGTAACAGTCTAAGCCAATTGCTAATAGATATTGTTCGCTTTCAC